TTTGAAAACTGTTAAAAATTCAAATTTTTCATTTTCAAACCTTTCAAAATTTTCTTAAAAATTCCAATTATTTTAATTTGAACTTATAAATGAATTGAATTTATTCATCATTTCTCTTATATTATTATATCTTATATATTACTTAAAATCTGAACCACTAAAATGCTCTTGAAATCACGACTTGAAAGGATTGATCATTAATTTTCAACAAATCTCACTTTAAAAAATATCCCTTAATTGAATTTAGCTTAATAGCCAGCTTGAAAATAGCAACAAAAAAATGTAAATTCAATTTAATAAATATGGTCGAGTTGAAGTTAATTTACTGTAAAGAATTAATTCTTTTATTATACGGACCTTGAAGTAAATAGCTTAAAGAAATCCTTCAGATGCTTTCATTTTCTCCATAAAAAGCCATAAATAGGAAAACATTGCTGAACATAAAAATTTTGCTAGATACACAAAACGCAGGCAAATTTATATTAGGCTAATGAAATGCAAAAAAATTTGTACATCCATAAAAAAAATTGTATAAATCTGTTAAGACATAAAAATTTAAGGATATGAATATAAAATATTTTTTTGAAATGGATGTTAAATTATGCTTGGAGCTTGCGGTTGCAAACAAAATTATTTGCAGAAAAAAAAATCGATTTCAAAAAAAAAATTCTTGTTTGAATTTCAATTAAATAAAATTGAGCACAATTCACTGCAATCTCGATGATGATGAGATGAAAATGCTTTTGGCAAGGGCATGAGCAATATAATAGGAATAAATGGAAATATACTCAGAATTGATCTCTTAATTTAATCTCTCATTGAACTCTTTTTCTATAGAGTGTGGATGAATTGGGGATTTTAGTTTAAATATAAAAAAGTTTTTAATCTGATTTTATATGTAGTTCAATAAAATTATGCAGATTTTTCAATTCCAGTTATATTTGCTCTGGATTTACTCAGTAATCTTCGTCATTCTGAATATTTTGTGGTTTTAAAATATTCAAATTAAGATTGAAATCTTTTTTGTGTCAAGAATATTCAATTTGGATACATAACGAACTTTTAAAATTCAAAATTCCAAAAAAAAATCAAAATGGTGGATTTTTCTCACCTCGAAAAGTTTTTCTTTAATAATTTGAAATCCAAAATGCTTTAATTGAAACTAAATGAATAATCTGAGTCAAAAAAGTAGCAAAAGCAAATGCACAACCATTTGACAGCAATTAAAAAGCAGATAAGCAGCAATTTAATGCTTTTATAATTCCAACTACTCAACATGTACATAAATTCACATTAGTTTAGCATAAAACTATCTATAAAATGCGTTCGAAAGCATAAAGTAAAAGTTTTTCCATGTTCACTCCTAAAGAGACACATTAATTAAGACATTTGGCTTGAATGAGTAATTTAGTGCTTAATATAGCTAATGAATTTAATTTACAAGCCACTAAATAATTAATTACTATAATTTGAACATAAACTATCAAGAATATAGTGACTTTGCATAATTAACATCCCAAAAAATGGGAACCTAAACGATAATCATGAAAATTTATGATGAATATATGACAAAAAGTTGTCTTTTTCTCTCTTTTTTATATTTTTTAATAACACAACTTCCACAGAATGAAGCACATAACAACATAACCTGTCACATTTGTCATATAGCATAAGAACAATAGCATCAACAATAATAATAGCAACAATAATTTCAACTTTGTCATTCAAATGTGCTAAGTAAGCAACACAACAGCACAGCTTACATGCTAAACTTTCGTCAAACATAAAAATGTTTTTCTGTTATGTGAAAAATTAATTTTAACAGCATACAGCATAAAGTTTTTAGATAATGAGATGATTTTGTGAAATGAGTATTATGACCTTCTGCAAAAAAATAAGCAGCACACAAGACTTTATGGATGTGTTGTCATGGCATAGACTTGGAAATTTGTCAAATGAAAAAAAAAATGCTAAGAAGAGTTGTTGAATTTGTCATGGAAACTGACAGCACTGATGCGGATCACGATTATTTTCTGTTTTTCTTTTCCGTTGTGCTTTGGATGAGTGTTGTGTGTTTATTAAATGGTTTTAAGTTTGTACTATATGATGGTTTTAAGCAGTAATTAGAAACCGCAAAACGATTTTGATTTAAAAATTTGAATTTATAAAGTCCGTTAAAATTTAAATATTAAAAAACTGATAGAAGTTATAATAAATTTTTAAAATTTTGGAAATTTAAAACTCGTTTGAAATTTGAATAGTAAAAGTGCGTTAAAGTTTGAATTTAAAAAGCTTGTTAAAAATTTGAACTTGAAAAGTTCGTTAAAAATTCAAATTACAAAATTCCGTTAAAAATGTATTAAAGATTTAATTAAAAACATAGCAGATAAAAATAAGCTCTATTTGATGACACAAAACTCTGCAGTCACACGCAATTTCCTTCAGAAAATAAAATTAAGAATCCACTTCAACAACCTTTTATTGCCTTAAAAAACTTGGAAAATAAAAGCAAACAAAAATCTGCGCAAAATGTAGCTTCAGCAATAAATTTCACAATATTATTTAATGAATACTGCAAATCCATGCGACAGTCATTAACTACACTCGGTTAATTTAGTAAGGGTATTTGCTTAAAAAGTTACTTTTGACCTTTATTAACATTTATCTAAGAGACACCAAAAATATTTTTTTCATTTCCATCCGTAATTTCAACGATGTCTATCTTCATTACTGAATTTCATTTTGTCCTTTCATTCTTGACAAAAAAAAATATTTCTGTTTCATTTCTCGTTTAATATTAAATTCCTGAGATAAATAAGAGGATTTATTCATAAATGACGTCAATTTTAAGAATTTGTACCACCCCCCCCCTTCCTCTCTATAAGCTAACACAAGTCACAGTTAAACTAGTCACATAGCTTTCGACCCTCTGCAACTCCTCCCTTTCATACCAAAGTAGACGTCATTTATGCAGGACCCCATTTAAAAAATGTCTCATTTTGTTTCTCTTGTTTATATTTATCATAAAGCCTGACACGTTTCAAGGGATAAAGGGACATCTTGGTGTGAAAAAGGAGGCACCGATCTTTATTACATTTTTGAGATAATTTATGAAGGGAAAATGAGATGATTATGATGATGATCATTGTGATATGAAAGGCTGTATTTTTTGATAAAAAGCTACGTCTACTCGTGGGTTGAATCTGAATAAATGTTGATTAAATAAGAAGTGAATGGAAAATTGAGAGAGCTTTGGTTTCCAGTGATTTTTAACACGTTTTTCTGATTTGATAAAGAATTATATGAATAACTTTAGCAGTTGGTCAGTTAATTGTTAAATTTCAGACCGGAAGTTTTTATTAAAATTAGAATTATTAAAGTAATTAAAATTGTGAATCTGATGTCAAATTTAATTGATCAAAAAATTAATATAAGCCCCCCCCCCTCCCCCCCCCCTTCCCTAGCTCTTCTTGTGGTCGCATAATTTTCATACCTTTCTTAGTGACAATGAAATCTTAGACATTCTTAAATGATGGACGTCACTGGTGGATGGCCCCATCAACTGCTTCCCTAGCTAGTCTATTATTTTATGCTATTTTGTTTTTAAAATCACGAAATTTTTAAAATTGTGGCAAATTATTTACTGAAGTTAAACTTAATTGTTTTCAATCAATTTATTTCATCACTCGATCATGAATCGGTGCACATTGAAGGCTTGCTGTTTAGTTCTTGTATTAAGTTTCCATCTTATTTGTGGAATTCAATCAGATGATCAAGTAAATCCATTCATTCATGGTATCAGATTTAGATCAGTAACGTGCAGCAGTGACAATACAACACTCATGGTGAAATATTGCTACTTAAAAGCCGTTTCAAGAAAAGATGTGACTTTAAATGTTGGAACTAAGTTTCTAATTCCATACAAAAAACCTTTTTACGCTCGAGCAGTATTTTCTTATCGATATGGAACTATATTTCGACCAATTATCGACACTCATGAATACGAAGTCTGTGGATTGTTAAATGGAAGTGATTTAAATCCATTAATAAAAGTTCTGTTTGGCATGCTACAAAGCAGAGCTTCAAACATATCTCATAACTGTCCATATAGTGAAGATTGGGATTTAAAGAATTTTACAATGGATTTGAATCTTGTCACTAAGGCATCAATGATATTTCCAGAAGGAATCTACAAAGTTGACATCACTTATTTCTATAAAGGCAGCGTATCTTATAATTTTTCTGGAACTGCCGAAATTAAATCACCATTAAAGGAAAGTTTTGGATGAAACTGTGTACGATCATATAAGCTAGCTATCCAATAAGCCATACATAACTCACTGTCTATAATTTACGAGCAATTTGTCAAATTTTTTATATTTTTATAAAAAAAATTGTATCATTTGGAAATTAAACAATTTACTTGATGAGAATAAAGCCATCTAATTTTGGGTCAACTATTTTTTTAATGTGGAGCACGAACATTATAAGGGATCGATCTTGTACTTCTTAATAACAAGCTTTGCTGCCTTGGTAACCAAGCGTGTGACAGCCGTGAGACTGTCACTGACGACAAGGCTGCAAGGTGTTGCATTGGTAACAGTGGTAGTATTATGGTTGCTTCACGCACAGATCAAAGGACGTGAGGGGGTGAAACTACGTCGACCCTGTAATCTCAATGGTTGAGCATCCAATTCGTGAATCTTAAGACCTGTGTTCGATTTTTACATGAATTTTCTGATATTTTTTCCCATCTAATTTAATCAAAAGCTCAATTTTTCATTAATATCTTATCCAATGAGACATCATAAGTGAATATCATTAAGCATATGTCGAACATTTTTATTAAAAGCTCAAAGTATCCAAATATGAGACACACAACGCACTGTCATCATTTCAGTAATTGATCCATAGAGATAAACACTCCCTTAATCCCATCAAATATTGCATAGTATCAAGCTACACAGGCAATTAAATGAAATGAAAAAATGGAAACTCACCCTTCCTCTAAAAATCATCCCGTGATCATCAGCAACCAGTTTGGCTACGTTCTCACCGCCGGGAATGTGCACAGCCCATGTGTGTGTAAAATGTCCACGTGCTCCAACAGAATCCATTATTTCATCACAATTTACACTAGTTACAAGGAAATTACATAAAACATGCAGCATAACGATGAGACATACATTGACAATTTGATAATATTTTCTTCTATATGTTGATGAATGCTTTTGATGGTGATCATGTTGCTGATGTGAATGATGATACTGACACGTTGATCTTGTTGTGGAATCAGTGGAATTATCATAATCATCATAAAAATTATAATTATTTCTACTATCACGTTTTATATGAATATTACGGTGCTTATGAATATTAATTACATTAATTTGATCATCATCTTTGTTACTGTCGTCGTCATGGACGATGTTATTGTTGTTTATGTGATAAACGGAAAGAAATGTATATGAGGCATTGACATTGTTACTCGTTGTACTGTCAATCCTGTCATTCTTTTTCTCATTATCGCACCATCGAACTTCATCATTAGACATATTGTTTTGTGGTTTTGTTTGTGTTGCTATATTTATGGATATGACCGATTGTTATTAATTATCTTCTTTCCTTCCTTTGTTCTTCAATTTTATGGTCTGTCTTGATCAAACTTCAATTATCCAATAAAAATTTCACTTCCTTCGTCTTTCCCTTGTTCTTTAACTTACTGCTGCACATGTGATTGTGTAACTGTCTTATTTTCTTCTTTATTGTAACAACTTTGTATCAAACAAAATTAAATCAGTGACTAGATGAATGCATCTATATTTCTACTTCTGTTTCTTTTGTGCTGTGGGTTGTGGGCGTCTTTTTATTGCGATATTGATTGATGACAATGTAGGTCAATTGTATCCTTTTCCAAAATGAGCGATTCTGCTTGTTGGTCAGTCCTGCAATGAGAAAATAAAAAAGATAAAAACATTTTTTTCTTTCTCTATAGCTGTATAAAATAAGAGTTCAAGGTTTTTGCGGATGTTGAAAGCTTTTGAGTTGGACAAAGTTGGCAAATGCATTATTTCGAATGCTTTTCTTTCTAAACTTTTTTTTTTGACGAGTCTATCTGACTGTAGAGACCGAGATTTCAAAGGTCATTCAGAATAATCGATGTAATTCAAGCTCTGAGGCTTACGAGAATACGTTTATGGTTTATATTCAATTAAAATACAAGATAAACTCAATTAACATTTGATAGAAATCGAAATTGTTCTTTTATAGCTTTCAGCAGTGAAAACTTTATGATACTTCACATTGCTAGGGAAGAATCTATCAAATTGAAGCTAAGGAAGATTGCAGCACTCAATTAAAATGCTTAAATTTAGGTTTTGAACAAGAATTTGCCATAATTTGTAATGATGATTCGTTAACTCAAAGAACAAAATTCAAATTCCAAAAAGCCGTTATAACAACAATTTATAGAATATCAACTCAATTACAATTTATTTCCATCCAAAATGCAATAAATAACATGACAAACTAAACAAACACCAATCAATTATTTCTCAACGACCCAAGAAAGCCAATAATTTCTGCTAAATTTAATCAATTCCTTTTTTCCTCCCCAAAAAATAAGCGTACCCAGCTCATTGATTTTAAGTGACCAAAAACAATAATAAAGAAAAATTGATTCTCGATCATTGACACAGTCACTTAATCATTTGAGTCATTGTTTTAAGCATTGACTGTGTACGCAATGGTCTTGCATTGAGTTTATTGAATTTCATTAATAAAATAAATGGCACAGAAAATAAGAATAAATAATATGTGTTAAATGAGATTGTGGGGGTGTGGGAGTCATCGAATTGTCATTGTACTAAATCGTTTGGTAATTAACGAATATGTTGATGTCATTTTGTACGTCTCTTAATACATGATCCGCAGCTTGATAATTTATTTGTTCTAATTAATACAAAATGGTCGTCAATTTACCAGGTCATAGAATGATGAGGCTGTACGTACGTATAAGTATAAAAGGAAATGGGCTGTTATTGTCGTGATAATCTGCCATTCTCAGTCTTAATGCATCAACATAGCGATAATAGAGACAAAAAAAACTGTTTTTTGCATCATAAAAAAGTCACACTTTTTATTGTCATGATACCTTCAGTCACTTCTGCCATTGAATCAGCAATAAAATATTCGCATTAATGAATTGCTCGATTCCATGACGATTTTTATGTTCCCTGACATTTGTTTTCATTTATGTATGAGGCTTTTTACCGGCATGTTATCACATTTTTATTAATGTCGCTGTAAAGATAACGGCATCAACAAAGATTTGTGCTCCGGTGATAAATCTGAATTTATTTTTTTTTTAAAGAGGATGAATATTATCATGAGTGTTTCGGGGTCATATGGCTATAAGGTAATGATAAAATTAGACTTTCGATACCCATTCTCATCTAGCAGCTCATTAATATGTGAATCTTAGATTGCTAAAGGATTGGTTCGATGGACTGAGTTGGAAATTTGCAATGACGTGAATTCGATTCCCACGAGATTCCAATCTCTTTTCAACCCAAAATATTAGACAACATCATTTTCAACCGACCCTTCTTCATCATTACAAAAATTTTTCGCATATTTCAATATTAATATTTAATTTTCTGAGAAGGCCTTGGGATGCTTTTGCACATCCAATGCACATATTTTTCTTGCAAAATAAATAAGATATTTTAATATTCACCTTTCCTTGCCAGGTTAATACTCTACGTAAGGTAAAATCAACAAAGATAATTCGATGCAAATTATTCTGTCCCAAAAAATGTTTTCGGACACAACTTTGCTTAATTAATTTTCAATCACTTTGATTTTGGATGTTTAATGTTACTGTTTTGAAAAATAATTATAAAACTTTCTCAGGTAGATTGACAAATGTTATGAATTAATTATTGGAACCAAGTTTGAATTTTAAATTTTGCAAGTTCGTTACTTTTTGCTTTAGTTTTTATTTGATTTTTCAAAAGGTTGTTTTGACGAGAATGTGTGGAATCCATTAAAAGCCAGAATATGATTGAGACTTCTATAGTCTGATGGTTGATTTCCAATTTAATTAATTGCCAGAATAAGATTGGGATTTCTATAGTCTAATGGTTGATTTCCAAGTTCTAACCTTCTTTTTTCTGAGGATGTGGGTTTGATTCTCATTAGAGTTCAACTTTAATGATTTGTAATGCTGTAAGCATACGGACTTGAAAAACTAGGAATAGATCTACCTTTTTAACAGCCCACACTCTAAATCCAAAGTTGCCCAAACAAAATTATAAACTAATGCGCATTCAAAACATTTAAAATAAATGAACAATTTCCTCAAAAGTCACAAATCCCACCCAAAATGTCTCCAATTTTGGCACTTCCAGCATTATCCCCATAGCAACACTCCACCTGTCATCTTAACAATTTCTAAATTTGTCATTTTAAACAAGCAACAAGAAAATCGCCAAAAGACTTCGTTTATCTCATTATTTCTCTAAGATACAGAGCATCTAACATTTAAGAATGAAGCAGAAATGTTGAGTGACACACCGAAAGAAAAAAAAGTATCAAATTTCAGGCAAATTGACCTTCCTGCTTTTGCCATTTGAAACAAAAAAAAAATGTTACAGAACAAAATCCAATAATGAGAAGAAGCTTGAGGGGGGATTATTTCTTGAAAATCACTGCTATGTCTTCACATATGTACGGAAAAATGAGAGGGATGAAAAAAATATTCCTTCAAGAACTCAATTTGCTGAATCATCATTTTCTATTATTTCCAGGTTTAACAATTTTTTTTAACAATCTTTTTATAGTTTGACCATTTTCCTATTTTATCCTCTTTGAGGGATTCCAAAAAGTAGTTTTTCATTGTAATATAATTACATATAGACTCAGCACATTTGTTCAACTTATATGCTGACATTCTGGTTATAGTTTTGTGCTTACTTTTAATAGGTTTTTAAGCATTCTTGAGTGAAATGTGGTTATACATATTCATAATGGGTTGACTTGAAGGTTAAGTGAGGTTTTTTGGATGAAAATGTGTATGTTTAAGGATATATGAAGAGTTATGGTACTGAAATGATAGATATTCAACTTTTGCCACTTTTTTAAGCATATTGGGACATAAATTATATAAATTGTATTTATTATGAACGAGAAATTAGCAAAAAACTTTTCGAAGTGGAGAAAAATTTACAAAATGGAGTTTAGAGTAAAAGTTAAGTCGATGCTCCCCTGCAAAAAATCTTTAAACATATTCCAACCACTAAATCTTGTTTGAAATCAGTAATTGATTAGACATTTGCAATTTCATAACTTACAATGTCTAAAATTCATCAAAGCTTTAATAAAAAAAATATACCCAAAAAACAGGCAATATCTAAATGAACATCAATATTTGTTTCACTAATTTACTCTAAATAATCAAAATCAATTTCTATTCACAAAATACGCTTTCCGGTCATTAATATCTCAATAAATATATCTCTATACTGCATACCATCCGCAGTCTCTAGGCGCCACAAAAATAAACAAAAAGTCCAAAAACATCAAATAGAAAAAAAATATATATTATGTTGCTCGATTGGACTAAATTTTGATTATTTGACATATGTACATGAAAAATGATCAACACATGTTTGACATTTATTCATATTTCACATAATATGAGCTAAAGGAATTCGGGAAGAAGAGGACAGAACGTAAAATTGAATGAGTAAAGGCATAAAAGAAACGGTAAAATGAGTGTAAACTTAAGTTAAATAAATAATGACAGTGTACCGTCATGTTTATATGGACTGGGATGAGTTCAGAAGTGATGTCAAGCTGGGTTTGAAAAATCCCTTTGAATTCATCATACTGGTCCTAATTCTATTCCTGGTCTTCCCACTTAAACATCGACTTTGTGACGTCATACATGAATGATCCCATCCTTCTACCAATCATTTCTTTCCTTATCAATTCGTTCAACTTAATGGAAAATCGATAAATTTTGTTATTCATTGCGATTCTTTATTCATGCTCCTTCATGCCGTTTCGTAACGATTTGTGAAATATTGATGTTGTAATAATTTATGATCTTAGCATCAAAATAAAAGAAAGAAATGTGACATGGAATAATGATATTGAGGTGATAAGTAAGGTCGTGAATATGTTCTTTTCTCACTTTTTTTTTGCTTCTGACAGTCTTGTTTCATTCCTTCGTGAATACATTTATGGTCTGTCGAATATCACACGAACGTGGGAAATAAACTGCTGAACTCTTGATACCTTCCTGACGTTGATGTGATAAGCCCATAAAACTCAAAACGAATATTATCTTCCATCTCATTTTCAATGCGATTTTCTACAAAATTTATATCCTTTTCTCATGAAGATTGTTGAACGAGTTCCTTCCAAGAATTTTCTTTCAATTTGATTGCTTTTTGCCAATGTTAGAGTTATCTGATGCCTTAAGGGATAATTTTGTTAAAATCTGATAAGTTTACAGCTTCTTCTTGCCATTGACATGTGTCCCAAGCATCTTTCGAATGCTGTCAACTTAAAACTCTTCATTAATTCTAAGGCTGAAAAGTCTCTGTCAATCAAAATTAAAGCTAATCATGCGACAATTCTGAAAATTCGCGTTCCTTATTCAATATTGATGGATTAATGTATGCTCGATTGAGTTGCATGTAATAGGCTTGAAGCAATTGATGTGAGAAACTTCTTTTTGATGAATTTGAATTTTGTAGAAAATTTTGGGGAGCAAATGTCATTGGAAGTGATTTCTGATCGTCTTTATGGATTTTTTATTAATAACCGTGTCAATTACAGCACATGAATGCTATTTAGGTGTTTTGTGCACAGAACTGTAAGTCCAGAAGCCTTAAGTTCAATTCTTATTCTATGGAATCTTATAATTTGACATTCT